GACAGGGGCGCACATGATCTCTCCTTGGACCTGTGCTAGGAACCCCGACTGGGTGAGCGCAGAAGGGCTTAGGTTCCAATCGGCGAGGACGAACCAAGGAAGCTGGAGAGAGCGAAGGAGGCTCCCTAACTTCCTGAAGCGAGTTAAATTGGATCCTCTCATGCCGACACTGCTGAACCCTTGGAAAGAACTGCTACAATGGAATAACCACGGAGATGGAGGACAATGGGCAGGAAGCCATCGAGGGAGGGGCGAGGGAAAGACTGGGGGTCCTTGGACTGGACCGCCTCGAGAAGAGGGTGGGCATGGAGATGCCCTCTAGGAAGAAACCACTCTCCACCCTCATTCGCGTGTGAAACTGCGGACATGGATTCAGCCTCGAGATGGGAATCAACTGTCCACCCTTCAGAATCAGAACGCGATGTGGGTCGAGCAACGTTAGCGAAAAGCTTGCGATTGATGGACCTGAGCCTCCCCTACCACTGTGACACACTGGCTGCATTGGCGTGGGTCTCGACCAATCCGATGTAGTCATCACTGCTGGCCTGGATCCACTCGTGGACTTTTTCGCCGAAGCAAGTGACATTGCTGAAGAAGAAACTGCTAGTACTGGTAGAAGAGATGGCATCACCTTCCCCCGTGATGCTGGGGTCACCTCCGCCTAGTCAATGCGAAGTGGATCGCTTGGTGGCGGTGGCGCGGCTGCTGCCCTTGCCAGCCGTCGGGGCGGCCGTCTCAGGGGCGCTGTCCTTGTTCAGGGCGGCGTGGGCGGCGAACTTGGCGGCGGACAGGCGAGCGGCCTCGGCAGCCAGCGCAGCCTCTTCCTCCTGCTGCTGCGCCTGGGCGGCTGCGGGTGGCGGCTCAGCACCAGCGTCAGCAGCCTCGCCCGAGCTGGGGGGCGGTCCTGCGCCAGGGTGGCCGCCGGCGGGCGGGGCTGCGGCTGACGTGGCGGTGCTAGTAGCCGCAGGGGCGCTGGCTTGGCCGTCATCGCCTTTGCGCTTCTTCTGGTAGCGCGCCTCGCGCGCCTGCCGAGCGGCTGCGGCGCGGCTGATGAGCTCCTGCACCTGGGGGCCCTTGGTGGCGAACTGCAGCTTGAGCTCCTCAAGCCCCTTCTTGACGGCGTTGAGCTCCTGCTGTTCTGCATCGGTGAACTCGAGATCCTCGATCTGCTGGAAGAGCGTGGGATCCCACGTGACTGTGAAGGGAGCCTCAGGTGGGTGGTCGGGCTTGCTGGCGGAGTCCTTGGCGCCATCTGGGTGTTCGACTCCTTCAGCACGCGCCAGAGCCTGGGCAGCCTTGCGTTTGGCGGCCTCCGTCTTGGCGACCTCGAGGGCGGCCTCGGCTTCCTTGGCCTCTGCCGTGGACAGGGCCTTGCGGAGCCGCACGACGTTGGCCACGACCTGATTGTGGTGGTTGACTGCGCTGCGCCACGCACCATCTGCCTTCCGCATGGCCTCGACCTCGCTGACCTGGGGCTCGGCCTCCTGGGCGTCGAGGCGCTGCACCTGAGCAGCGAGGATGGCCTGCAAGGCGGGGTCGGTGGCAGCCGCGAGTGCCTGACGAAGGTGGTTGGCGAGGCCGCCGTTGTCAGCACGCGGCGTCGCCGTCTGGTCGCGGGGGGCGGCAGGCGGCGGCGTATCAGGGTTGATGATCTCCTCGGGCCCGAACCTCACCTGACTTGGCGAACGGGAACGGCCGCGATGCATGCGCATGGGCCGATTGCACCGTGGGCATGTGGGGGCCTGCGGGTCGAGGCGGTCGTTGTACTCGCACGTGTTGCAGCCGCGGCAGCGCGTCCAGAGGCGCGGGGAAGGATGCCAGGCAGCAGCGCCGCGAGCAGCCTGGCTGGAGCCGCGCGGCGGCGCGCGGGTGCGAACCATGAGCCCCAGCTTTGGTCGACCGTAAAACCTGCAAGAGAGCGGGTGCACGGAAGTCCCTCAAGCACCTCGCGGAGGTACTGGGGCAGCCCTGGGAAAAGGGGGGGGCCAGGGCCGAAGTGGCTTGAGGGAGGGGGAGGAGGAGGAGGAGGAGGAGGAGGAGGAGGAGGAGGAGGAGGAGGGGGAGGAGGCAGAGGAGGAGGAGGAGCAGGGGGAGGAGGAGGGAGGAGGAGGAGGGCGGAGGAGGAAAAGGAGGAAAAGGAGGAGGAGGAGGGCGGAGGGGAGTGACCTTTGGTGCGGGCCCAATGGCCCCCCCCCCCCCAGCGCCGAGACTCGCGCCGCGTGCGAGGCGAGAGCAGCGGCTTGCGTGCCTGGATCTGGCCCCCCCCCTCGGCTGGCTCCCCCTGAAGAGGCCGCCCTCGCGCGTAGCCGCGTAGCCGAGCGAAGGAGCATCGGAGGCGACGGCAGGGGCGAGCAGCCCAGGGGAGGGCACTGCACGCCTTCGCCCGGGAGCCTCGCCGAAGGCATGGGCCCTCGGCGCCCCGGGAGGCATGGGTTGCTTTGCTGTGGGCTGCTCGCCCCCATCGTCGCTCCCGAGGGAGGGCCTGCTCAGAAGGTTCGGAAGGCTCCCGGCCCTCTCTGGGAAGTTTTCGGCAAGCCTTGGAGGCACGGAGAACTTCTCAGAAGGCGCGAGGGGGTTCTGAGAAGCGGGGCCGCCCTCTGAGAAGGTCTTCTCCTTCTCACTTTCCCCCCGCGCTCGCCGCCGAGAGGAGGCCAGCGGGAGCCCGCTTCTTTATTGCTTGGGGCATGACGGGCGTCATGGCCCCCGCTCCCCCCCCCCGTATGACGTAACGCTCCCCCCCCCAGTGCGCTCCGGGCACTGCCGCCGTGCGCATTGGGATCCGCGTAGGAATCCGCATAGGTGTCTGGTCCGCAGGCGTCGTCGTCGTCGTTGTCGTCGTCGTCGTCGTCGTCGTCGTTGTCGTCGTCGTCGTCGTCGTCGTCGTCGTCGTCCGTCGTCGTCGCTCGTGGTTCGTCGCTCGTCGCTCATCGTCGTCGTGCGCGCGGACGCGGCTGGAGCCTGTTTTTTAGTCCGGGCCGATGACGGCAATCATCTGGGGGGGGAGGGGGTCGATGACGTCACGTTTCGCGCCGGCTGCGTCTGGGAATGCTTAGGAATGACGGAGGACGGGTAGCACGAACATGTAGGTGGCGATATGCACCACAACGCCTGTGTACATCACAGTGCCCGCGTGCACCGCAGCGCCTGTGTAATTACACCACACCGCCGATGTACACCACAGCAGCCGCGTGCAACACAGCGTCAGTTTGTGCCACCGCGCCTGCAGGCACAGCAGCTCCTGCGTACACCACAGCGCCTCCGTACCTCACATCAGCCGTGCGCAACACAGCACCAGTGTACACCACAATGCCTGCGTGCATTGCAGTGCCTGTGTACGCCACGGCGCCTGTGTGCACCACATCAGCCGTGTGCGACACAGCACCATTGTTGTGTAGAGAATTTCAGAAGGGATCCTTGTGACAAAATGGAGCGCGTGTGGATTCCAGAGAAAACAATGGAAGACAAATCCTCATGGACAATGGAACGCCGCTGGAATCTACGAGTCCCCCCGAGCCCGCACGCATCACCCTAACTCCCATTTGCGTCCAGAGGCTCCGGCTAAACTGGCCGTCCGAGAACCAAGTGGACCGATTCAATCGACCATTCTGCGGTGCACGCTGAGATGCGCACGTGCGTTGCAACGCCAAACCGCACGACAGGAGGTAAGAAGGAGGAAAAGGAGGAGGAGGAGGAGGTGGAGGAAGAGGGAGGAGGGACAAACGTCGCATTCGATTATCAGAACTTTCCTGGCCTGGCGTTTGGTTGTCCGCAACAGATCCTGACGTACATGCTCCTTCTACCTGTCCTGTGCACGCAGGCGCTGTGGTGTGCACCAGCGCTGCGTTGCACGCGGATGCTGTGGTGTAGACAGGCGCTGTGGCGTGCACAGGCGCTGCGGTGCACGCAAGCACTGTGGTGTACACAGGCGTTGTGTTGCACATGGCTGCTGCGGTGTATGTACACCGGCGCTGTAGTGTTCCCGAGTATTGTGGTATACACGGGCGGTGCGTTGCACACGGCTGTTGCAGTGTACGCAGGCGCTGTGGTGCACACGCGCGGTGTGGTGCACGCGAGCGTTGTGGTGCACACAGGCGCAATGGGCAAATCGCCACTTACATGCTGCTCGCGTCGTCGTCGTCGCTCGTCGCTCGTCGCTCGTCGCGTCGTGCGCGCGGGCGCGGCTGTGGTGCCGGAGCCACTCGGCGGGGGGGGGGCGTCACGTCATACCCCCCCCCCGCCCTACCCCCCCCCCATGACGCCCGTCATCGCCGAACATAAAGAAACGCGCTCCGGACTGCACGCGAGGGCGGCCGGAAGTATCGGGGGTGGAAATTTGTAGGCTCGGATTCTAAGTGGTGGGATTATCAGAGGGGCGACTTTGCGGGGTCGGACTCTGCGAGATGTGTTGGTGTAGTGCTGCATATCTGACTGATGCTGGGGTCTTGAATCGAGAGGCATGCCAGGACTGGCACCATGAGCAGCGCAGAATTTTGACACGGACGTTTCAGTCAGTTGACATCCGATCAGTCTCAGATGGGCCTCCCGGATTTTTGACCAAGACATCCCAGTCTGTTGAAGTGCATGTCCCTGAATGTTGACCTGATCACCCCGACCAGTTGACACAGACATCCGAGCCTATCGACCAGTCTTCCGTTGCCAACCTCCTTGTCATCTCGCTCCTCGCTCTTTTCCTTCCATCCCATGATAAGGAAGAGGGAAATAGGGAGAATGAGGAAAGGGAGGAGTGCGAGGGAGGGGAGTGGCAAGGGGGGAGATGACTCCTTCGCCCCCGCCTACGGGGAGACGAAGATGGCGACGAGAACGACGACAGCGATGGCGAAGACGACGATGGGGATGACAACGGCAGCGAAGACGACGCCGGCGACGACGGCGACGACGACGGCACCGGCGAGAACGCACACGACCGAGGCGGCGACGGCGACGACGCCGCCGACTGCGGCGGCCGCCGCGTCGACGCCGCCGCCCCCGCCGGCGGCCAGACGCCGCCCGCGCCCTCGCGGCCTCGCCGCGGGCCGCGCCGGCCTGCAGCTCGAGCCCGGCGCTGCCCGGCAGGCCCGCCCGCGGCGGCAGCGCAGGCCGCCCCCCGCCGCGGCCGGCGGCGGCCTGCGAAGGGCCGCCGCTCGGCGGCCGCGGCCTTCGAGGGCGCCCGGCGGCCTTATCGGCAGGCGGCCGGCGGCCGCCGGCCGGCGGCGGCGGCCACCTCGGCGAGCCTATCGGCGGCGCACTCCTTCGCCGGGCGGCGGCGGCGGCCTTCGGCGGCCTCTGGAGCGCCGCGGCCGCCGCGTCGGCTGCTGCGCCTGCCGCGCTGGCCACCGGCGACCCCCTCGGCGGCATGCCTTCGCCGGGCGGCGGCGGCCATGGGCGGCCTTCTGCGCCGCGGCCGCCGCCGCCGCCTGTGCCGACGACGTCGTCGCCCCTGCACGTGCTTCTGCCGCTTCGGCTGCTGTCGCAGTCGGTTGCCTTCGGCCAGCTCCGTCCGGTCGGGTCGCTGCGCCGCTGCGCCTTTCTGGGCTGCTGTCGGTCCGTCGGTTTCGGCCAGTCTCGGTCTCGTTGTCAGTGCGGTCTGTGGTCGCTTTTCCTGTCGACGCGTGGACGCCCATGGAAGGGAATCTCGCCAGGCCTCCACCCGTGCGGGAGGTTTGGCCAGCCTCCGCCTCCGAGGCTCGTTACTACTTGGCGCTGGGGCCGTCGAACACCGCTATGGGGCAGGCGGGTCCCAGGGGAGTGGCCCAAAGGCATCAAGACATCGGAGGCGGGGGGGCACTCGGCAGTCCTCGGCGGCCTGCAGGCCTTGGGCGGCCGAGAGCCGCTGGAGCCCTCCAGGGATCCAGGGTCGAGGGTTGCGCCTCGAAGAGCGAGCGTTGACGTTCGCGGACTCTGTTTGACGGCGTTGCTGGAGTTCTCCGGACGCCTCTGGTGACCTCCAGAGGCTTCCAGGGACTCCCAGAGACCTCTGATGGCGCTCGGTGGCCTTCAGCGGCACGGTGCCTCGGAGACATCTCGAGATTGTCGGTGTTGTCCCCTGGGGGTCCGTCTCCTGACCTGCTGCCATCACAGCACTGGATGGGAAGCCCGCTCCTGGGACGGGGCAGAGCGGTCTGTCGGGAGACCCGACGGGGTCGGGACGGGGTGATCGACCGGTTTCGGGACTCCCAAGTCTGGGGATCCGTGCCACCAAAGCTTCGCGAGGCCAGGCGTCTGGGTTCGGTAGCCTCCGGCGGTCCGAGCAGCAGCGCGGAGGTCGCCGTCACCTTTCTGGCGGCGCTTCGAGCCGCTGCGCGGGCATCGTGCGGCCGTTCGGGACGGCTCTGGGTCGCCCAGGGGGGGCTCACGGGAGACCCCCCGAGGCCCGACAGTTCCAAACAATCTCTCAAGAGTTCACGCTGCTCTCGTCGCGCTTCAGGACCGCATTCCAGAAACAAGTGGCGCACGCGTGCCATGGCTTTTGCACAAGAAGGAAGGGGGAGGAGGAGGAGGAGGAGGAGGAGGAGGAGGAGGAGGACATCCGTAGCCATTTTGGCTCAAGGCCGATTCAGGCCAGGTTTTCGCGAGCACGTCCTTTCCCGCCGCGGCGAGCCGCCAGTGCGGCCGTGGTTTCTGTTCCAGGAAGCAGGAGCCCCTCGAGCCATGTCACCAGGTTGGTACTGTGGCAAGTGCGGGTTCTACAACTACGGGCACCGCCGTGTCTGCCGCCAGAGCGGATGCGACGGGTGCAATCCAGTTCAAGCAGCCCGGCCTGATCAGAGCTATTGGGCACAGTACTCGGTGCCAGGCGGGGTGTGGTATCAAGGGCCTCCAGTGCTTCGGCAGGGAGATGGAGGCAAAGGTGGCGGCAAGCATGACAAGGGCGGCAAAAAGGGCCTGGGGGGGGGCAAGTCCCCTCAGGGTGGCAAAGGGCCAGGTGGTGGGCAACCGCCACGGGCCCTCGCGCAGGAGGAGCGAGGGATGTGGATGGCCATGTCGGAAGAACAGTTCGCCGTTCTGGGTCAAAGCTTGTCGCAGTCGCACAGAGATCAGCTCGCCCACGCGCGTGCCATGGCCAACTTCGGGCTGCAGGGCGCGCAGGCGGAGGCACAGCAGGCCAATTTGCAGATCGGCAAGTTCTCGCAGCAGGTGCTGCATCAAAAGCAGAGGCTCGCGAAGCTGGAGGAGCAGGCGCAGCAGGCGATCATGGCGGCGGTCGTGGCCAAGCAACAGTTGCAGGAGACGGAGAAGCAGCTGGGCGAGGCCAAGCGGCGCGCGGCCGAGCACCTGGGGGCCCAGGGGCTGGCGCAGCAGATCGCGACCGACGCGTTCGAGGTGCCGATCAAGGAGGCGCTGGGAATGTTCGAGCAGGCGGTGCCGTCGGAGCTGGCCCCGCAGCCGCAGGGCGCGGTCGACGCGCTCAGGGCGGCCATGGCGGTGGTGGCGCAGCAGGCCGCGGCGGCGATGCAGGGGAGGCAGCCTGGTGGCGCCGCGGCGTCAGGCCCCGTCGGCGCCGCCGCCGCGGGCGCGGGCGCGGGCGCCGCCAGAGCAGGAGGCGCAGGCGCTGGCGCCCAGACGCCAGGCGCCCAGGGCTCCGCAGGCGGCGGCGCCGACACGGAGCGCGACGTCAAGATGGTCGAAGCTGATGGTGGTGTTCTTATTGACCTTCGCTCTCAGCTCGAGTCTGATGGCAAGCTCACAGATCCCGAAGTGCAGGCCACCATCCAGAGCCTGTTCAGCAAGGCGACCCAGCGCCTTGAGGAGGAGAAGGCTGAGGTGGCAAAACGAGACAGGCGCAGCAGGAGCCCAGGATCGAGATCTAAGCTGTCCAGTTCCTAGCCTGTGGAGTTTCTTCTCGGCCAATGTCACTAGTTGGCCGATGTGCCAGAGTTTTTTGGAGACGGAATGTGATGGAGCCACATGTTTCTTTCAGGAGTGCAAAGTAGAGACGGCCAATCTGGCCCAATCCAGCAGCACGCTTTTGAAGTTTGGTTGGGATGTAAGGTTAGGAGCCTGTGAGGTGACCCAGTCTGGAGGCTTGTCTTCGGGGGTAGGAGTCGCCTGTAGAGTAGGAGTAGGCATGGGCACCCTGGAAGGTTTGCCGAGACCAACCTCGAGAGTTGTATCTGCGTGGATTGGTGGATTGCTGAAAGGTGGCATTATTGGGGTCTCGGTCTACTTACCGTCGGGGGAAGGCGCAGGGGCCCAAGGGCGCCAGATCCTGATGCAGCTCGGAGAGTCACTGTATACGTCTGGGAAACCCTTTGTCATTGGAGGGGATCTCAATGCGACGGCTGATCAAATCAGAGCTCCTGGGATCCTGGAGAAGCTCGGAGGTGTCATTGTCCAGCCTGGGAAGCCTACGTGCAGAGTGGGCAAGGAATGGAGAACGATCGATTTCTTCATAGTCTCAGGGGGACTGGTCCCAGCAGTGGTAAGATGCGATGGGATTGAAGAGACAGAGCTTTCGACGCATTTCCCAGTTAAGCTAGTACTTCGCACGGACTCGCATCTTGCTCAAATTCGCGTGCTGGCCAAACCTCGTCAGTTTCCCGATGAGTTACCAGTGGGACCTGCACCGGGCCCACCGCCAGATTGGGAAGAGTTGCTAGATAGGTTGGAGACCTTCGTGGCAGGCTCGGTATTCACGGCTGAGCAGGCGAAGGATACGTATGCTGATTTCTGCGCACTGGCTGAGCAGGAGCTGGTGAACACTTACCAGATTGATCCAGCGCAGGCCGATGGGTACAAAGGAAGAGGAGCCCCCTTCAGGTTCGTTTAGAGGCCCGCTCTAACGAAGGTCGGAGGCCCCTACCCTCTGGGATCTCAAGTTTCCAGGGCAATGAGGAGGTATAACGTCAGGATGGAGGAGTTATTGTTTCTGCTCCGCAAGGGGCGTTCAGGCCAGGATAAGCAGGTGCAGGACTTGCTGAAACAAGCAAGGGAGCCGCCCACGATCCTGTGGGAGTGCGAGCGCTGGGTCAACTGGAGGCATAAGCATTTTTCTATGGAAGGATACCACGCCGAGGCGCTGCACGAGGCGATCCAGGACCATGTAAAGTGCATCCAGGGTGAGGAGCAGGTATGGAAAAGGTCTCGGCAACAAGAGTGGAGACAATGGGCCCGCTCGGCCCTGGAAAACGGCGGAGGGAGAGTTCACAGGTGGACGAGGCAGCCCAACGACTGGATCCCCGCGGACCCTGGCCTCGATGGGGCCCCTGGTGGTTTTCAGGATCCGGTGGAGGCCCTGGAGGAGGAGTGGGAGCACATCTGGAGGTTCGGGGAGGTGCCCAAGGTCGCTCCCAGGATGCTCAGTGAGATGCCCCTCGAGGACCCGCAGCCGCCTGTTGCGCCATATAAAGTCAGGTCCGTCTTGGGGAAGTTCAAGAGGCACACCGCCGTGGGAGTCTGTAGTTGGGCCCCGCACGCGCTGAAGCAGCTCTGTACCTCTGGCCTGCTTGCTCTCAGTGCTCCGATGTATTTGTGGGACACGCACTCCCAGCTGCCCGAGCAGATAGCGCTGCTCATTTTGCCGTTTTTGCAGAGGCCTGAAGGGGGGGGGGGAGGCCCATTGGGATCATCTCCACCCCAGTGCGACTCTACAGTCGGCTTCGTCATGAGGAGGCGGAAAGGTGGGAGGACAAGCGCGCGCACGTACATGTACGGAGGAAAGGGCAAGAGTTGCGAGATGGCTATCTGGAAGCAGGCGCTGTTGGACGAGGCCGCTCGAGCCAGCAAAATTTTCAGTGGATGCACGCTGATTGATCTGGAGAAGGCGCACGAACGAATCACGCACGAGCAATTGGCAAGAGCATGCAACAAGCACGGGTTCAGTTTGAGGAGGTTGAGGTTTCTCCTGTTGGTTTACTCGGGCAAGTGGGTCATTAAAGTAGGAGAGGCGGTGTCTTTGCCCTTTGAGCTGAACGCCACCATTGTGGCAGGCTGCTCGTATGCGACGACGCTGCTGAAAGTAGTGATGTTAGATGTTTTCGACGCTGCGGCCAAGAAGTGGCCGAGGATCGGCATTTCCTTGATGGTGGACGACACTGGTCTCCAGGCAGTGGGTGATCAGAAACATGTTCGGACTCAGCTAGTTAGGTGCACTCTGTTTGTTTGCAGGTCCCTGGAGAAGCTCGAGATGAAGGTTTCGAGACGTAAATCGATCCTGGTGGCCTCGGACCCGAAACTTGGAAAGCAGCTGGCATGGGCGCTTCGGGAATTTGGGTTCAAGCATGTTCAGGCGACCAAAAACCTCGGGGTCGATTTCAAGCTGAGGACTGGAAAGGGTAGAAACGTCACAAAAAAAAGACTGAAGACGACCAGGGGCAGGGTGCGAAGATTCAGGGCTTTCAGATTCTCCCGGAAGCCGCTTCAGAATGTGTATCGAGGAGGCCCCACGCTGGCGGTAATGCATGGTGTTTCTGTCGTCGGCCTCGGCGACGCGCAGTTGGAGCAGCAGCGCGCCTCGACATGGGCGGCTATGTTCGGGCCTGTCAATGGCCGCAGCCGCAGCTTGCAGTTCCTTTTGGCTGAGGTCGAGAAGCTCGACCCGATGTTCGCAGCAAATTCTTTGCCTCTGCAGATGTGGGTCAGAGCAGTCTTTGATTCGTGGGCCACGGATGCCCAGATGAAGCACGCCTTCGACTACGCGGTCAAGGCTAGGTCTCAAGGGTGGAGGACGGCCCTAGGCCCAGCAGGAGCGGTAGTGCTCACCCTTCGAAGGCTCGAGTGGGAAGCTGTCTCCTGGGATGTTTGGGTCAACGCTGTCGGAGTGACCATCAACATCAAAGAAGTAGGGCCTAGGACTGTGCAAACCCTAGCGGATGACGCGACTAGACGGCTGCTACGTATACGTGCGGGAGTTCATTACAATGCCTCTTGGGGGCCATATGTGGAGCCTCTGCGTGATGAACTTGCTAGGTTAAGAGGTGCTGGAGATTTTCTTGGGGGCAGTCTGCTTATCGCGCAGGTTTCTGGAGGTCGCTGGACTCAGGCCGATGTGTTCAGGAAGAGATACGTGATTGATGAAGAGGGGGTCGGTTTTTCACCGATTTGGGGCTGTGACGGCTCCAAGCTGATCAGGAGGGACCATGACAATTGTGGAATGGGGGCCGCAGCCGCGGCCCTGACTCAGCCTGACATCTTGTTCGCGAGAGCCCTGGTGGACTCCAAGAGGACCGAGTTCCCCAAGATCCTCCAAGGTGCCGAGTATTGGTGGGCTGTGAAGCCCGAGAGTGGAGTGCTAGGCGACGCGGTCTGCATCGACGGATCCGCCTTCGACGGAGATATTCGTTGGCTTTTGCGTGCTGGTTGGGCGGTCGTCTCTATCAGCCCGAGTATGCAGGTGGACGCAGTGGCCTACGGGCCTTCCCCTCTCCCAGTGCTGGACGCGCCGTCCAGTGAGCTTTGCGCCCTCTACATGGCGCCGTGCCTCATGGGACCCAGTATCCACTTCATAACGGATTGTAAAATGGTCTACGACGGGTGGAACATGGGAAGGGAGGAGACGGTAAAATCCAACAAGTGCTACGCGGAGCTCTGGCGCCTCATCTGGATGAGGATCGAGGACGTCGGAGCAAATTCGGTGAACGCGCGCTGGATGCCTTCGCACATGTCGGAGGCGGCAGCGCAACGAAGAGGCTACGAGCCTCATTGGTTCAGAGGCAACCAGGAGGCTGACTCCTGGGCCAAGACAGGTGCCAAGGCGCATCCAGCAAATCATCACCTTCGGGATCGTCTGCGGCATCATCATGATCAGGTTACGCTCATCTCCAGATATATGGTGGCAGTTCTCAAGCATGTCCATCAACTGGGCTATCCTGATGTATCATCATACTCTGAGCGTGCCAAAAGAGAGCCTAGGAATTCGGAGGCCCCGATTCTCGACATAGTCTCAGATGATAAGGGTCACGTTGTCTCGCAGGCTCCTGGCGGTGGGTGGGGTTGTGGTGTCTGTGGGCTGGCGCGGGCGATTCGCTCTCGGCTGGTGCAGCTGCCGTGTCCTGGGCGTCCGAGGATTGTGTCCCAGGCCCACCCCACCCATCGTCTCTGGCAGAATGGAGGGCTGACCTGGTGCGTGCGCTGTGGAGCGTATGCCCGTTTGAAGGTCAAGGAGTTGTGCAAAGAGTGTGCGGGGAACCCCGACACTGAGTGGAAACGGAAAGCCCTGGGGATTTTGAAGCAGGGGAAGGATCCCTCGAACTCTAGACTGGAGGCGGTTATCCCTGTCCCCCTCAGGCGCTGAGTTTCCGATTCATGTAAAGGGCGGGCGTCTTTTGTCATCGGGACGACCGCTGAGGAGCGCAACAGCGCAAGAGGAGGAGGACGACGACGACGAGGATGTGGAGGAGGAGGAGGAGGAGGACGAGGAGGAGGAGGACGAGGACGTGGAGGAGGAGGGGGGGAAGAACGGGCGAGACATCGGAGAAAGAGCGAACAAAGGGGGCCGCAAGAGGGGTTTCAGAGGGCGAGCTCGCGGATGCTCGAAGGGCCGCCCCCCACAAGATGGTTTCAAAAACCTGTAACATGTTCCAAGGAGGACTCCAACAAACACCCAGAAGGAGCCCACAGAGGGTACCAAGAGGTTCCCAGGAGCTCCAAAATGTATTGAAGAGGCTCCCCGGAGACCTCCAAGGTCCAAGGAGGCCCGGAAGAAATCATGGAGCAGACCCAGCTGCTGGAGGCTCGCGGTGCAAACTGCCACATGTTATGGCCTTGTGCTGGGTACGTGTGTCCAGGGCCGTCGTTTTGCGCACAGAGCCTGTCGGGTATATCCTTGGGGGCCAGCGGACTCGTATACGCCTCTCGAATGGGGGCCTCTCTCATGGACCAGACTTCCGGCCCGAGCCGTTTCGCTCGCCGGCACCAGGGCGCCCAGGAACCGCCCCTGGGCGACGATGGCGATGTCGACGACGACGGCGACGGCGACGGCGACAGCGACAGGGGCGGTGGCCTGCGGGGGGGAGGGTGGGGGGGGGAGGTCGGGAGAGGGGGGGGGCGGGGGGCTGCGACGCGGAAAATACAGTGGTCGGTGGCGGAGAGGGGCACTGGGCTGCTTGAGGGCGGTGGTGACAGGGAGTCGGGGACGGGGGCCTGCGAAGGGGAGGGTGGGTTAAAGTTAGGGAGGGAGGTGGGGGGAGGGGGGCAGGGCGGGGGGCTGCGACGCGGAAGATCAAGTGGTCGGGGCGGAGGGGGCCGCTGTGCTGCTCGAGGGCAGTGGGGGCAGGGGGCGGGGGGCGGGGGCTTCGGTGAGGATGGGGAGTATAGGGGCGGCGGCATGTCGAAGGGAGGGGGGCGGGGGCGGGGGCTGGAGGACAGCGGCGGCGGCGGTGGCCCGCGGAGAAGGGGGGGGGAGCGGCTGCGACGCAAAAAAGAACATGGTCAGTCGGAATGGACACTGGGCTGCTGGAGGACAGCGGGCGATGGCGGGGGGCCTGCAGGGGAGGTGGGTGGGCTGTGACGCGACAAATATGATGGTCGGGCCAGAGGGGGCACTTGGGCGGGGAGGGGGCGGAGGGGGGGCTGCGACGCGCAAAATACAATGGCCGGGGCGAAGGGGGCACTGGGTTGCTGAGGGACAACAGGGAGGGACAGGGGGGCGGGGGCGGTGGCCTGCATGGGAGGGGGAGGGAGCCGGCGGGGGAAGAGGGGGAAGGCGAGGGGGGGGGCGAGGGGCTGCGACGCGAAAGATGAAACGATCGGGGCGGGGGGGGCATTGTAGTGCCAGAGCACAGGGGGGCGGGGGCGGGGGCCTGGGTGGGGGCAGGTGGTAGGGGCGGCGGCATGCTGCGGGCAGCGGGGTGGGGAGAGGGGAGCTCGGGGACGGCAGCGGCGGCGGTGGTCCGCGCAGAGGGGGCCGGGATGTGTTACTGCGGCGCGAAGTCGGGGCGGAGGGGGCACTGGGTTGTGGGAGGACAGCGGGCGGTGGCGGAGGAGCCCGTGGGGGGAGTGGGGGGGGGGCGCGAGCAGGATGGGTGGGGTGGCTGCGACGCGAAAAAAAGTGGTCGGGGCGGAGGGGGCGCTGGTCTACTGGTGGACGGCAGGGACAGTGATGGACTAGGGAGGGTGGGGGGGGCGACGCGAAAGATAAATATATCGGAGCTCTTAGGCACCATTCGCAGGATGAGAATTTCGAGCACCCAGAAAGAGTATCGAAACAGTTTCTGCCCGATGCGCCGGAAACTGTCGTACAAGCATCGTCTCCCAGGGCCGGACACGTGGAAGCCCTCCCGTTTCGATGCTTTCTTGGTGCTCGAAACTCTTTCTGGTGGGCAAAGCAGGTAAGGTTGGAACATCTTAACCCCAGGGGGATTCACGGAAAACCTCCCGAGGTCCGACCATCCCAAGCACTTCTCGAAAGCCATGAGATTCTTCAGAGAGCCCTTGTCGCCCGAGCTGTCGTCGGTCGTCGTCGATCGTCGTCGTCGTCGTCGACGTAGTCGTCGTCGCCGTCGTTGATCGCCGGTCGTCGGTCGTCGGTCGTCAGTCGTCGGTCGTCGGTCGTCGACGGTCGTCGTCGTCGTCGTCGTCGTCGTCGGTCGTCGGTCGTCGGTCGTTGGTCGTCGGTCGTTTTCGTCGTCGTCGTCGTCCTCGGTGGTTCTCGGCCGTCGTCGTTCAGGTCTGCGCCGCGGCTGCCTGCACGCCGCGGGCGCGAGCGTGCTGCTGCACGACGGGCCGCCGAGCCCGTAGTAGCGCGCGCCTCTCGGTGGCGGCGCTGTCGCCGTCTTGCTCGCCGCCGTCGTTTTCGCCGCCGGCGTTGCCGCCGCTGGCGTCGTCGGCGTCGTCTGGCGCGGCCGTCGTCGTCATCGTCGACGTCCGAGAAGATGGATAAGGATGAGGAGTGGGGATAAGGCGTGAGCATGTAGGGGGAGCGTTGCTTGCGCCTCGTCTGGCCCTGCTCCCTGAGGGAAGAGTGTCGGAGGAGGAGGGAGGAGGGACGGAGGGTTAGGAGACGAAGATGGTGACGGAGTTGGGGATCGAGACGGGGACAGGCGTGGGGAGACAGATGGGGAGGAG